AATTTTACATAGGTTTACGATTTTCTTACGCACCGTAAAAACTTACGAAAGTTTACGCATATATATTTTTGCTGATGCCATAGTGTTTAATCCTTGTCCAAATCTTATAATTCAGATTATATTGTAAGTCTTGATATATCTTGTATACATATATATGTTCCGATTCACAGAACTACAGTTCTTCTCGAATGCTTTCCAAACGATGCATTTTGGATCTTGGTCGTTGGCAGTTACAAATCTTGCAGTTGGTAAGTATTCCTTTTTCTAGTCTAGTTCAATAATATTCTTGACTTCGGGAGTTATCCAATTCCAAGTTTTGGTAAAAAGTTTTGTAGCAGCCAGTACATATAAGTTGGTTATAATGAAGATGTAATTCATCAGATTGTTGCGGAGTATAGCATTTACAACAATAGTGGGTTCTTCTTTTACTAAAATGAACAAGTCTTCTGGCTTCTACCTGAATTCGATCATATCCACAACAGTAAGTTAGGTTATCCAATTTGTATTAAGCTAATGGGCAATTAATTTCTATGTGTTCAATTTGTCTGCATCCAAAACATAAGTTTTGAGAACAGTCTTTGAATAAATGGTTAGTCTGACCACAATTTTTATAATTTGCTTTTTTGTTTTGTTTACTATGGCAATTTCTAGCAATATGTACCTTCTCATGACAATAATAATATTCATTTTGTAGACAGTTCTTATATTTATGGGTCCTTGAGCTGCAAGTTTTACAAGGTTTTAAAGTTCTAAAGCAAGATTGATTTCTAAACTGAGGTTGGTAAGTAGTCTATCCTTCTTCTTCTCCAAGAAAAGAAGATGCATAGGCCTCATGTAGTATCAAATATTCTTCCTCGTATAATTCATAATCCTCTGGAGTAATATATATAGGCTGTTTCTTTTTTGGCTATTCTTGTTTATAGGAAGTATTCAAAACAATTTTCTTTCCTTTCCAATACATAGTATATTGGCATGTTTTCCAACTATAACTTGTTTTGACTTTCCTAGACCAGTCATTTCTTAACAGTAGAGAGTAAGACGTGGCAGATACTACTTCTACATTGATTGGGATAGTTCTTCCTTGTATTTTTATGGATAAATTACAAATAATTCCTAAGAGTCTTGATGTAGTTCCAGTGGCAGCAACAATTAAACTTTGTGATGGTTCATCGATTTTAAGACCTAATTTCTTTACAGTTTTGTGGGCAATTATACTTACAAATATACCACTATTAATAATAGCTGAATAAGTTTGATCCTTAATATCCACACAACATTTGACAGGAGTAATATTATTGGTAGGTTCTGATTTAGTAATTTCACAATTTGTTTTAGTAATATAGATGGTAAGTGCAGTTCGAATAGAATAGTTGTCCAAGAGTCTCTCCCAATTTTTAGATGAAGCAGAGGTTGAGTTGGATTTTTCAGCCATGTTTACATTTTGGTAGTAGGGTGAGGGTGAGCAAGTGGATCTAGGTTCCCATCTTTCTTGACTTTAGTCCCTAGATCTGCTTCTATTTTGAGAGTAGTTTTGAGAATAGTTTCTATCCCTACTTCTACTTCTATTATGAGATCTACTTCTATCCCTTTGATAATTATTAGAATGATTATTGTTGTAGTTGTTATTGTTGTTGTAATGGTTGTTGTTGTAGTTATTGTTGTTTCAGTGATAGTTGTTGTTCCTGTTGTTATTTCTGTTGTTGTTACTTCTAAAATTGTTATTTTGCCTAACTTCTGCCTTTCTAGCATGGCAGTTTTTTTGATAATGACTATGTTTTCCACAATAATGACAAACATCTTTTTTTTTTTGATGATTTGTCATTTCAACAGTATAGGCAGTTTGTTGTTGTTGTTGAGCCAGGTTGATACTGAGTTTAGCAATTTGGTTAGTAAGTTAAGTAATAGCCTTGGTAGTGTCGGTATCAGTAGATACAACCAATCTTCCTGCTTCTCATTGTTTAGCAGTTTCAATAACTCTATTCAAAGTGTCTCTATTGGTGACTTGTACAGGCATAGCAAGTTCAGGGCATAATCCTTTAATAAAGTGTTGAATAAGAAAAGCTTCTGGTAATGTAATAATTTTATCTTTTAAATTTTTAAATTTTGCAACATAGGCATCTATAGTATTAGTTCCTTGTTTTAACTCAAAGAAACTTTGTTGCCAAAGAGCCTTTTGTTTATTATCACTAAACCTGGTTTTGAAAAGAGGTTTGAAACTAGTGTTCGGAGGACCATTATAGGCTGTCATTGTTACATTAGTAAACTCTTTAATCAATTCTTCGGCAATTCTTTTCATATATGCTTTTGCCAAAGCAAGTCGTCGAGTTTCATTCTAGTTATTAGCTTTAATAGCATGTTCGAATTTATCAAGCCAGTTGACAGGATCTTGGGTTCCATAGCCTTTAAAAGATTTGATTTTAATAAGATTCTTTTCACTATTATCTCCTAGTTCAAAGCTTGTACAGTAGTATTTAGATTTGCAGCCATATCTTCTTCTTTACTACTTGATTCTGATTCAGATGATTCTTCTTCGGATGATGATTTCTCTTCAGATGACTTTACTATAGATGATTTCTCTTCAGATGATTTAGTTGTTTCAGATTTGCTATCACCTGCAAACTCATTATTATTAAATAAAGTTATATAATCAACAGTATGAACTTGAGTATGGTCAGAGCCTGTAGGTGAAGTAGGTTGACTTTGATTGTGATCCCAAGGTTGTTGGTTAGAAAAACCTCCAGGAAGTTGTAATACAGTATCTTCAAAAAGTAGAACTTGTTGAAATTGTGGGCTTGTTGTGGGGTTCCAAGGGTCAATCTCAGTATTATCTTGGTATTGGTCTGCTTTCCAATAATTAACAATAGGAGTATTGTCTATAGTCAGATATATAGGAATATATTCAACTTGGTTGTTGTCATTATTGAATAAATTTTCTTGCTTCACGTTGATAATAGTTTCTGGAATAGAAGGGCGAATTTGTTCTTGTTCTTCAGATAAATAAGAAGGAGGAGCTTCAGATAGCACTAATTCATCAATACTATCAGTATTTGTCTTTTGGGTTAATTAAATCAGTAGAAGGAATTATAGAACTAGGGGTAGGAGTATAAAAATCAGCTTCTAAAAGATTAGTACTGTTTGAAGAAAACAAGAACTCAGTAGTTAGTATAGGAAAATAAACATTAGTTATATCTTTAGGAACTTCAGCAGATTGATAAAATTGTTGTTCAGTATCAGATTCAAAAATTGTAGTACAGTGTATACAACCTAGTCTTGGCAACTAAGTTTTTTTAGCGGCCAAATGTAAAAAATTATGTAATGTGGCTAAATTTGTATTTTGTTATAATAAATCATGTAACATGGCCAAATTTGTATTTTATTTATACTTATAATAATAACATGGCCAAATTCAATCGTTCTATGAATTGAATTAGTGATTCAAATTGGCAAAATTTCTAATCAATTCGTTAAATCAACTTCAACTTTAGTAAATTGGTTGTAATTAATTGGTGGGTTAAACTTAATAATCACAATTTATTTGTATATAGATAATTAATGTTAATAAATTTTATTAAGATTAGTGCAAAATAAAAACTCTGTCTGGGTATTGTTAAATTATCGGGTATTTGAATAAATTAGTCATATAAAAGTAATTTCTACTTAGTTGTAATGCCGAAGTGGAGTAATATGTATATATGTGTAGATTAGCTTCAGGCATTGCAAAAGTTATGTGTTTTATTAAGAATTAGAATCGAATTATATGAATTACTGTATTTTATTAATTAATTGATTATATTTGTACATTCTCATTTCCATTCTATACCCAGTTTAGTCAGAATTCATAAATAATAAAAAAAATGAGGTAATAACTTGATAAATCAAACTGTAGAATCTTCCCACTACAACTTTAACAATAACGCTTTTGCCATATACAGTTTTTCTTAGCATCACTTTTCCTTTTTTTTAATTATGTATTATATTGTTGTAATTATGACAAGTTATTCCTATCTACATATAACTGTTATCCCAACAGGCCACAATTTATCGCGGCTTCATAGCATGCCATTAAATTGTATCGCCCTGGGCAATTTCCCATACTTACTAAAATACTATCACTATAATCTGATTATCCCATACTTACTCAATTATCTCATACGTACTCAATTACCTCATACTTACTTAATTACCTCATGCTTATTCCTCGATTATTATATTGATTGATTATTATTATAATATCAAAGCCCTACTAGATTGAACTAATAGAAATTTTCATGTATCTATAAATTATAAAAATCTCTATCCCTTAAATTGTAATGCAGGCAAATTTGTCTGCGAAGATTTTTACTAATTTTTTTAATATTTAAATTTTTTAATAAAATTTTGAATATTA